ATGCAAATCTAAACATCTAGCAGTTGAGTGTATGACACCTGATAATTTCAGGGAGAGGTGGAGGTACAGATAGTCACAGCTCACAGATAACTTCTCCAGATCCAGACTGAGTTATAATTAGGTTTTAAACCCTGTGAAATAGTTGCCATCCATTCCACAGTTAATCAATAAACTGATAGTTGCCATCTTTATGGAGACATTTTTCATAAGTCACAGTCCTAGAGGTAGAACACTGAAGGTTTTATTTTACTAGACTTTGGGTGCTTCCAGATGAGGCTTTTCTTGCCTGATATTGTAATGTTCCATTTGTAACCCATCTGCAGAATCCCACAGCATCATCCATTTCCCCTACCCCTTGCTCTAGGAAAAAAACCTAAGGAAGAAAACATGGAATTCCTGTACAATGCCTTTTGATTAGTAGTACTAGGAGTCATTTGTGTGGAAATACCCTTCATGATATGGTATAGAACTGTACCCTACCAGCCAGCCCAGCTGAAGTTCTCTTATTCACTTTATATCAAAATAAATGTAAACTTTATATCAAAAGCAAAGAGAAAACATGATTATGCATGTGGAAAGAGAACTAGAAGCAGCAACAGCAGTCTTTGCATCCGTTTCTGCAGCTCTGCATATCAGCCTATTTCAGCCATGTAGCAGTGGTGCTTTGGAAGAAAAGGGAAGGCTACAGCATCATCAGGCTATGTCCATGGCATCCGCCTTCGCCTTCTCTCCACACTCTTCATCTTTTCTCCAAGGTTGCTCTTATCACCTGTCCCTAGCTGTGGATCTGGGAATCTGAAGACTCCTTTGGCACCCTAGATGTTGTTTAGGGGACACAGGATCACTTTGTCTGTCTGAACTAAGCTCTTGGAATGTAGATATAAGGACTTGACTCCTGCTGAGGGAAGGTTCACACCCCTGATTTGCATTTCTGATTAAAATTTTAGCTGCAGTCTCAAGCACATTTGCAGCACAGTGCTACATAAAGACTGGTGCATCTCACTCTACATAGATTTGAGCTACTTCTTGGAAGTTATCGTCTGAAATATCTCAAAAATGAAAACTGTTTAGCTTATCTTTCTTAAAACATGAAGTTTTTTTTTTAAATGTTGCTGAAAGTACAGGTGAGTACAACAAAAGAATGTCACAATAAAAACAAACTAAAGCTTGCTGTGCAGAAATATTTAACGGAGACATTGAGGAAAAATCCAGATTTTACTCCTATAGAGCGTTGGATTAGAAACCTAGAGAAAGCAGGTTCTAGTGCCCTCTTGGTCATGAAGCCCACTAGATGATTTTGGGCCAGTCATTCATGCTCACCTTAGCTGACCTCACAGGGTAGCTGTTGTAATAACATGGAATGGAGGACTATATAAGCAAGGAGAAAAGACAGGATATAAATGTGATATAATACTACTAGTAATGATATAAATATGCTTACTTGAGTCTTACTTAAGGTGCAATCCTAAGCATGTTTAGGGAGAAAAATTCTTACAGCATTCCCCAGCCTGCATTTTTTTTTCTCTAAATATGCATCCTGGGATTGCACTCAAAACTATTCAAAACTACTACTTGTAAAAAGATGTGAAGAACAGCCATTCCTGGGTCTAACTGAAGAAGAACTCATCCCTGCTTTGCAGTGTAGTGTTTATTAGCATTGTTGGCCAAGGCGATCAGAACTGTTTTTCTGGTCTGCCTACACCAGTGCTTCTAAAGATAGAGATTTCCTGCAAGTTAGTGTTACCTTGCAAGACCAAACTTCATTAGCATGATTAAACTATGTGGGCCACAGATCTCAACTCCCAACCAAATGAATAGTTTAATTTAATTCAATCAGAGTCTTTTCTTCTTATATCTTCTTTCTTATATCAGGGTGGGAAATCTTTATTTCTGCCAACAGTCACATTCCCTCTTGGGTAATCTGAAAGGGGCCACATGTCAGCAGTAAGTGAAGCCAAAGCCAGGACCAGGCAAGGCCAGAAGCAAAGATGGTTGGACAAGCCCTTTACATGCACTCTCCTCCTTCCTTCAACATGGTAATCTGCCAGGGAAATGACAGATCACCCTCACCAGCAGCCTGAACTGACAGCTGTAGGCAGCATTTGAAATAAGGATGAGTGTCTCTGCCCACTGTATTACAACTGTAGTTCTCCTTATTCCGTATGCAATTAAGCTAAACAAAGAGCATATTTTCTTGATTCAGTCTTGTTCCATAAAGTATCAATTCCATTGTATGAGAACAACACGGATCTGCTCTCATCCTTGCAACCAAAATGGAATGCACTGAAAAACAATGCAGCATTTTTAAAAAGAGTAAATTTGATGTACATTTTATCCAAGGAAGTGGTTAGCTTGTGTTTTATGCTCACAGTTAGTTTGAGTTATATCATCACAAGCACAAATGTATACTGATGAAATTTAGCAAAAGGAGATAATTAGCAGGATGGATAAAAATTTATAAGGAAAAGTCATTCTTAAACGAATAAATGATATAATCTCTCTTTAAAATAAGATTGTCATATTCACAGACATTAAGTTACCTACCAAATTAAACATTAATTTCAGTTCTTTCTCTCATAAAAGTGTCAGTGCTCAGCCAAACTTCCAGCTTTTGCTTTGCACACTAGGAAGGTCCATACTGAACTTCCTGCATCTCTAAGTAGCGCTAAAAAAGAATCCTATCCAAATCCCCAGAGAACCAGTGCCAGTCAGCATCAACAAGACAGGGCTATGTGGACCAGTAGCCTGGCCCAAAGGAAGTTGCCTTATACGAAATCAAACCACTGGTTCATCTAGCCTGGTGTTGTCAATGCCAATGAGCAGCAGTTCTCAAAAGTTTCAGGTAAGAGCTTTTCCAGCCCTATCTGGAAATGCCAAGGGACTGAATTGGGGTCCTTCTACATGCATAGCATTTACTGTTCCCACTGAGTGATGGTCCTGCCCAACTCAGAATCAGGCAGCTTCCTGTGTTTCTGTGACTGATGTTGTATCTGCAAAGGCAGGCTGGATGGGATTGTTGCTGTTTTGTGCTTATGAAGTGATACGCTTAGGCCAAGTAAAAAAGAAAACTTTGTTAGGACAAGAGGCACAGCATAGGAAAGGATGGTTCAAGGCAGAAAGAAAAGGAGTCTGTGTAAACAACTTTTTCAAAAGCCTTTTGAAATTTAAAGACAAGACACAGTGCTGATCAGATCACCTCAAGTCTGTAAAATTACAGACTTGTAAGAGGTCTTGAAGTCCTCTAGTCCAATTTCCTGCTCAGTGCAGGCTCTGTAAATTAGGATATAGCTACATCTTAACTAAATGTTTTTACACTTAAAGGTGGTACAAGCATCATTTCAGAGAAATAAATCCTAGCTAATTTTTAAAAAAAATCTATTGTGTTTCAGTTACCCTTGATAAAGACAAGAATTCCAAATTCCACCTAAGCTGTCCTTTAGTTTTTTACAGCTTTAACAAAATGTTGAACAAAAAAGAGGATTTTTAAAAGCAGCTATAGTATCCCTGATAGATAGCAAACCAGCTTTTGCTTAAATATAACAAAGGAGAACCCACCTCCCAAGGAAGTTGAACAGTTTTCCTGTTAAAAAATTTGATCTATTTCCACTATTTTCTGCATGACTTTCAGATATTTTAAGGGTGGTGCCTATTCTTCAGGAAGTTTATCACACATATGCACAAAAATTCCAGAGGATATGCTGGTTTTTTTTGTTTTTTTACACTAAGAGGTGTATCCAAGGCAGCATCTCTGTGAACACCAGTTCCTGAGGGGCTTGGACAAGAAGGTGCTGGTTCCCTCATATCCTGCTTGTGAGATCCCTTGGGCAGCTGGGTTGCTACTGTGTGAAAAGAATGCTGGATTAGGTGGACCATTGCTCTGATCCAGCACGGCTCTTTTTATGTTCATATATGTGTGTTTCATAGTTCTGGGTTAATTGGTGAAAAGTAATACTGAAGGTAGAAGATAGACTAGCTACTAATTTTTCCCATTTCTTTAGTATTTAGAATTCAGCTCATCAGTTGTGAAGAAAAAACTTCCCAACCCCTATGTTATCTACTTCTAATATAGTTAGGGTGCAATCCTATGTTTGGAGAGAAAAAAATCTATCCTTAATTTGTTAGGGTGCAATCCTGTGGCCCTCCAACACTGGGAGTCTATAGGATTATTTGGAGTGCCAGGTCCTGCAACTTCAGGGCTGGGACCTCTTTAATGGAGGCCCTGACCCCCAACCCCTTCACAGCTGGCCCAGAAAGAATCATGGCAGTCTTGGAAATGCCAAAAGAATGCCAGGAGAGGTGGGGGCTGACCCAAAGGCTCACCTGGTATCCAAATGGTCCCAGCCTCCTTCCTTCCCTGGAGCTTCATCCAGACAGCCAAAAACAGCTGCCTAGAGGAAATGCAGGGAGTTGCAGGGCAGCAGAAATCACCACTGTTATGACACCCGCCCTCCACTGGATGTGTGTAATCCTCTCGAGGGCAGAGGACCCTTGATTGTACCTTAAGTAAACAAGCATTTTCGTGGCCTGGGAGCCTCTGGCTGGCCAAAAGGAGCCACAAGTCGGGTCCAGCAAACCATTTCTCACGTTGACATCGACAAGCTGAAGTAAGGATTTAGAATAGCTTCATCTGCCAAATATATGTCTGTCACATCCCTATTAACCCCCTGCCAGAAAAATAGTCAATGACAGTAGCCATACCTTTTAGCCTACCCTGTATAGGCTAGTAAACTGAATCAAAGGCTCGTGTCTACAACATTAGCATTTCCTTTGGTTCGAACTATGATCGCGTAAAACACCAAGCGAAGCACGAGAGTGAGGCAAAAGCCCACATCCCTGACCTCAGCACAGGCCCAAACGGGAGCATCAGCACTCTTTACAAGAAAACGCGCCGCTCACTAATGCAATCAGGCATGCGCGGAACAACTACCCCCCCTCCCTTTCCCCCATCGCACTCTGCCAGAGGAGCCAATCAAACCGCGCCCAGACTCCCCGGTGGCATCCTGGGAACTGTATTGCCACACGCCTTCTTTTCTCTTCCCTCTTGTTCTGCGCAAGCGTTCTTAGTGCGCGACTTTGGAGAGGCGCTAGTTCGGGTTTGGACTTGGACTGGCTGCCATCTTAGACGAGGAGTCATCGCGTCTCTGACTGGTAAGAAGTACGTTGGGCTGCCTTGGGCGGTCTAGCTAGGAAAAGGGCCGCCGAGGGATGGCTGCCCTTTTCAGCCGCCTGTGAGGGGTTCTTGGGTATGCCATAGGAAGGCTGTGGGGAATCCGAGATAGGCCAGGCTGTAGTAGTGGATGGATCGAGGCAGGTGTAGAGAGAGGAATGTGATGGAGATGGGTCCCTTTTCTGAGCGGGAAGGATCCCCGCCTTCCTCCGCAGTGTCTTCCAGGATTCTGCGTGAACCCCAATTCTGCCCCGTCTTGCCTGTGGACCGCTGGATGTTAAACTGTACGCTCAGGGGGCTCTGTTTGTGTGATTGGGATGGGTGGAGGGGACGCTCGTGTTTTGAAATGCTTTCTCCCTTAATGCCCTGGCATTCGTAGGTTTCTTTGCCCCCCACTCTCTTTCATCCTCTTACTTATTGTCCAAACGAAGATACACTCAGTTACTTTAAAGGTACAGTGGCACACTTTCAGGGCGCTGTGTACTCAAAATTCGCGAGGGCAAAGGGTGGCGTAGGGCTTCTCATTTGTGTTAGTGGTGGAGGGACGATGGTCGTTTGTTGTGGCGCCCAAAGGGTGTGTGTGATCTTAGGGTTCTCAGTCCCAACTTCTTGAACACGCTTAGATAGCGTTCACGGTCCTCTGCTGTTCTTGACCTTGTCAGTTCATTAAAATGTATGTGCTTCTCTCTAAATACCCTTTTCGCTTGTACTTTTGTATGACTTTGTCATCTGGTGGTCGTATCAGAGCAGCAGCAACTGTCGATTGCAGGGAAATTACCTTCTTTGGAGAGAGAGCATTATTAAGTTACTGGGTTTAGCTGTCGTGGGGGAACTCTGGTTCACATTCTTACTTGGCAGTAGAGTTCCCTGCATTGTTAAAAATGCAGTGGTGCCATGCACAGTTGTGACTCCCTTGGCACGTGGCCAGAGGTATTTACAAATAATCTCCTTTTGACACTTTTATGATATTTAGTATGTGCTATACCTGCAGGCTACAGTAAGGATGAACCAGTTTTTGCTCGATGGGCTTGGGTACCCAACAGGTCTGTTGTGAGACGAAAATGTTTCTGTGAGTTCTTAGAAGGATTGGTGGGAGATAAATAAATAGAATAACATGTATTTAATAACGAAGGCATTATTTTGAAGTTAAGACAATTGTAACTGTTGCAATTTGGGGTGGCTTGTTTTGTTCAGATGGAAAGGTAGAATTCCTTTTTAATTTAGACACAGTTCTGTAGTCCAAAACACTGAATTGCATATTCCTAATCTTATGTGATTTAGAGTGAGGGGGGAGGGTATGGAGAGTGTAAGCATGTTTTAAATGACTTTAAATGTTAATGGTTAGATTTTTAAAGCTTTATACAAATAGTAGTATAAACTTGCTAAAGAGAATTACATCTGCTTGGAGGAAGAGATCTTTGGCTGCATGTTGTACTAAGAGAATAACAAAGAAAACACATTATGCTAATTTAATCCCATTGAACCTGGTATTTCATGTGCATATGCTTCAGTTTGCAGCCGGTTTTCACCTACTCTTGAAATCAGTAGTATTTAGGCACTCTTAATTCAGCAAACAGGAGCTGTAACCCTGTGTAAACACTTACTGGGAGTAAATCTTAATAACAGAGGATCAACCTCCAAATAAATGCATGTAAGGAATTAGATTATGGAAATCATATTCTAACCACTGTTCTGAGTTTAAGGTTTATTAACATTTGTTCTTAAATTTGAAGGGCTTTTTCACTTTGTAGAGACTAGTTCCTGATAAGTTCAGCATGTCTTATTCCCTATTACATACATTTAGAATTTAGATCCTTACAAGACAACTATAAAGTAACTTGAAGTAAACCATATTGTGTTCATTGGGATTTATTTCTCAGTGCATCTGCCTAAGATTGTAATCTTGACCTCATGGGGAAATAATTAAAATTGTAGTAGGTAGTATTGCAAACAGTGTGATGATCCTGTGATGTGAAAGGGTTCCTGACAACAGCAATTTCCTTCATAAGTATTTTGTGTGTGTTGATGCATTTTCTGAAGTAGAGCTAAAAAGGATTTTATTGGGGTCACAGAGGGAAGGCAGAAAGGACCAGTATATTTCTTCCCTTCAGACCTCCCTATTTTTTGCTTTGCTTTGCTTTGCTTTGATGACTCCAGGGGAAGGGAAGTTACATACACCAATATGAGGGTTTGCTTACATTTTCTTCAGTTCTAGAAGATTTTGAGGGAAGGTTTCAAAACCTGCAGATCAGAGTCTTCCCCTAAACCCTCTCCTGATATGACCATAAAACTCCCCGTTTTGTTTTTCCATCATTAGGAGCTCTGAAATAAAAAAAAGCAAATATTGCAGAAGTTTTATAACAGCCTGGGTACCAAGTATGGAGCTCTGTCTCTGAGATCTGAAACATCTTTTGGCACCAGGATGATCTCCCAGGAAGCAGGAATATGCTCAAAGACATTTGACAAGTATTTTGGAGATGTCGGAGAATAGGCAGGGTGCTGCTTACTGGATTGTTGAATTTCAAATTACTGTTTTCTGTTTAATTTAACAGAAATATATTTCAACAAAAATAATATTAAATAAAAGATTATGGGTTATGGGTTTCTTAAACAAAGCCTTGATTTTATTCCTTGTTTCTAGGTGTATAAACATTTTTCAGGATGGGCATAATGAAAGTTTGAGTTCCTTCTATTCAAACAGAGATGAATGATTCTTCATAGGACTTGCATTATTATAAATGTTGCTAAATGATTATTTATGGGCTCAGTCTCATGCATGTTTAGACAGAAAAAAATCCAATACTTCCCAGCATTTTCCAGCCTTAAATAAAGTAGTATTTGTGAGTCTGCAATGAAAAAAGTTTTAATAGAAAAAAGAAGCCTAATATGCCGTTAGTGTCAGTAACCTGTAGTAGCTGCAAAATTTGCCTCTCTAATTTTGTTTGAGCCACATTGTAGATGTGGTTTTAAAATTTATGACCCCTATTCAGTTATGGACCTATTTCCATTTCTGAAATAAACACAAATCAGACTATTTTCTCAATGCTTGGAAAAACTTGGAGATACAAATTAATGTCTTATTTTAAAAGAAAAAAAATCTCAGGTCTTAAGCTTAGTATAATTCCCTGACTGGAATACTGCCATCATAGGAACCATTCTGTAACATCTGCATCTTTCTTCTGATTAAAAAAGCATGAAAAATGTATATGCTATGGAAGTTACATTCACTTGAGTTGTTGTATACTGACCCTGGGTTATTGACATGTCATATGAAAATAAGAAAACTCTGCAATGCAAAGATCCATTTAGTTAATGGAAGTCATAACCAATAGTTTTTGAAAGATATGTCCTCTGTGGATTTGTTTCTTCCCCCTGTGATTGCAAGTTAATTGCATGTGTTGCAAGGACGTACCATTTTGTATCACTTGTCTATAGCCAGGTTAGAGTCGGTGCAGCATAGGGCCACAAGGTTGATGGCCAGTTTGTAGGGGATGAGTCGAGACTGAGGGAACTGGGTGTTTTCAGCCTGGAGAAGAGGAGACTCAGAGGGGATCTGTTGGCGACATACAGGTATGTGAGGGGATGTCACATGGAGGTGGATAGAGACCTGTTCTCCCCTGCAGAGGAAGGCAGGACGCTCTCCAACAGAGCAAAGCTCAGGGAACCAAGGTTCAATTTAGATGCCAGGAAATACTTCCTGACAGTTAGGACCCCAAGGGTATGGAATGGGCTTCCACAGGAAGTGGTTGAAGCCCCATCTGTGAGGGTGTTTGAGGATAGGCTAGGCATGCCCATGGTGGGCATGTTGTGAGCGGAGCTGGCTGGAGCCGGGGGTCAGACTAGATGCCCCGGGAGACCCTTCTGACTTGCTCTGTTTCTATGTTTAATAATATCAGTGGGCTTCTGTTACTCCAAAAAACTAAGCTTTTTGTGGTTGCTGATTTCACGAGTATAAAGTTGGATAATGAAATATTGTATAAGGTGAACGTTTAGTGCTTATAAAAGCTCTCGAAATATCTTGTGTTTTGCGTTCAACTTCTTAACATAGAAAGTTAGTACAGTAATTCTCTCTACACAGGGGGTGGCATAATCTGGTACAGCACTTAATAAATTCCAATCAAAAGTTCTTAAGTCAAAGGAAAGAGAGAGAGTTAAACTTTTGCTTAAAACCTGGATTTCTGACTAGATAAGCCACATGAACTACTTATATTAGTACTTTCTTGTGTCCCATATGAACACACAAAATAAACCCCAAAATTCAGATTATTAGGCAAAATGTCTTTATGGTGCATATTTCAAATTACTGAACTAATGAAATACTAATTGTGCAATTTTGTTCAAGATTAGGCAAAGAAAATGCCTACAACTTCCTGCGTACCCTACCCGAGATGGAACATGCTTGGAGTTTTAGGTCTTGTGTTTTTCTAAACATGCTTAGGATTTTATGTAGCACACACCACAGAATTAGTGCATGTTGACATTGTATGCAAAAATATGTAACTGATGCAGTATGGAAAAAGTAATACACATTTGATAAGTAGAGACTATGCACATCTTTCACTTTCACTACTCTTGTATTTTCAAGAACTTGCTAAACTAAAGTTAGTTGTCTTTATCTTGTTATCCAAGTGTGGTATGCTCTAAGTGCATTGTGACCAATTCATACTCATAACGTGAGTTGTCTCAATAGTGTTTTGAGTCAAACTTTTTCCAACACTGTCTCAGTGCTTATAAAGTATTTTGTGCATTCCAACATTTAAGTATTATTAACAATTAGAAATTGACTTTAAAAAGTGGAGTGAAGAAATCTTTGTACATCCCCCAGTGTTTGCCTTAATCTTAGAAAGGGAATGATGCCACAGTATCTCTATCCCTGAAACACTTGCCAGAGCCTGAAGAGAGAGAATCGCTTAAATGCTTATAAGGAAAAGGCAAGCAGTAGGTAATCTCTGTGTAAACATTAATGTTACTGAGCCAGTCG